AATATTATTGTATTGTATTGTATTGTAATGTGACTTGATCAGTTAATAAAACAGGATCAAGTAGACTGGCCCTAGTATTACCTACTCGGGTAGGTTCGTTTATTACATTTGTAAGTCCATAATTGATTAATAACTCTAACAAAACATGTCTAGGTTGAATCATTCAGAAATCTACATTCAAATCACTATTGATTACCAAGTTTGAAGAAATATCTAGTGCCTTGCTTACCGATTCGCTTAAATTATTCCAAAATAGATTACTGGAGTTTTCTGGTCGGTAAATAGTGCATATGATAATGGATGAATGCTGAAATTCTATCTGGGTCCAGAGAATTTCACAAACCAGAAATTCCAACTCACGTAAACGTTTAGATTTGAGTCTGTCATTGACATAGACAAGAATTCCGCCGCCCGCAAAGTTACGATCTAAACGAATTGGATCGTGAAAACCTTCGTATCAAAGTATCAGAAGAAACATGCTCGTCCAAATGGGTTTCAGTAAGACAAATGATATCATATTCATCAGTCAGATCCATCAAATCCTGAATTTTATTTCGAACACTTCTAATATTCAAATGGAAAATAGTTAATTCTTTCGGACCAGGATTTGAGTCAACATCCATATGAGATAGCAATAAAATTAACAAAACTAAGGTAAATTCGAAATTAAGAAAACATGAGTTCAGGACTCGGACAAGAGAGTGTATCATTGAAAAAAATCTAGACGAAAAGACAAAAATAAAATCGAAAAAGGACTTTAAGTTAAAATACAATAACGTACATACCTTTTTGACCAAGTAGCCACCATAGAATTTAGAATAAAAGGTGCCAATCGCCGACCTATAGCTCATTATGTCATTAACCAGTATCAAACACAAAATTACTTCCAAAAAGGCGATCGGCAAGCATAAAATTAGCTTGTAAGACTCAGCAAGATTTCGGTGTGTAAGTACAACAAACCAGCAACATATTTTTTCTACATAACAAAGAACTATACACAAAAACACTATGTACAAACAAACGTAAAACACAAACATGGTTAAAGATGACTGCATAAGATACAGTTCTAAAATGTTCAAAATATGAACGTCAGGGAAATTTAGATGTCAAATGACGTAATATAATCAAAATACAGGATGTCAAACTTCAAATATGTATCGACGAACATTTTGTACTCATTTTATTCATTCAAAAGGAATAAGCTGGTTTTAATAATTTTCTTTTCTCAGTGAAAATTTAGGATAAAATTTTATAAGTTAGACCACGTGGTTTCTCCTTCTCCATGAAGACAGAACTGGTGATAATCTTTACACTAATCATTTCTTCCTGCTATTCATCCCTAAAGTTTATTCCTCACTGTCGATCCGAGCTTTCTGGAATATCCGTTTCCACCAGTCCGTCCTCACAGAGAAGGACCAAGCACGTGGTTTAAAGCATCATTACCCGCCTCCCCCCCCCCCCCTCCCAAACACACACACACATTGCTCTGATATGTTTATGAATAATCTAAGACATTCACTTCATATATATATATATTTTAAATATAGAAAAAATAGAATTAAACACTCGTACTCATACATTATTGAAATTTTCAAATCCGTACATCATCCTGAAAATATGTTTTGCTGACCAGAGGTATCATATATATAGTACAAAAAACATGTATTGTTTATCGAGGATCAACAAAAGCAAAATTCGAATATCAAAATACAACACAAAATTTTGCCAGTATGTTAATTTTGGATACATACCAAATTTCCCAAATTTCACAGTATATGAATGACTGATAAGTAAATATATTGTCAACCAAAACATTTTACTGGTTTCACGTACGCGTAATAGCAAACCAACTTGGTATTAATTTCGAATTCACTACATGATACACTAAATACCAGACAATAAATTGAATATATTTTGTAACGAGTATACGCATTAAAGTGCCTTAAACATTAATTATTAATATACTAACGTATAGCAGCTGGACCACATTATCCAAAAACAAACAAATCAAAAAAGTATACACTTGGGCTGGTACCCATCATACATTAGTATACCACACATGTGTGTCTAAATTCTTGAATTGCATATAGAGCTACGATTTTTACCCTGGATATTTAACATAATAAGATTATACTCTACATTTGGGCTGGTCCTAACACTTTATACTAGAATTGAGGTGTAGCTCATGTACGCTATTTGCATATGTACTTAAAATAATACAATATATATATATAGTTTTCTAGTTATATATACATATGTCATGTGCTTGGGCTGGTTCCCGAAGTGTGACCCTTGAAATGTACGTGCTCTGCATGTAATTTTATAGTTTTATTCACACCACGCTGAAAAATTATAGAAAAAGGTAAACAAGCTAAGGCCACGCCCCTCTAGCCCGCGTGCGGCTCATTGACAACAATAACAAAAGCCACGTGTTACGCCAAATAGCCATGTGTTACAGTATAAAATTGCATAGATTCGTTAACCAGAGCATTGAATTCAATTCACCAGCTTTATGAGATATAGAAAGTATTACTTAATATATATATATATATATATATATATATATATATATTGAGAATTCATAATAAACATTGAATTTCACAAAATATTTTTTTTATTTAGTGTAGAGATTGTTTAGTTTAAAAAAAAGTTATACACGGATCGCCCTCCTAAGAATGTCTCGAGTTTACGCGCGGTACATATACACATAGTCTGGAGCTAGACGGCTGATTTGAAGAACACTTAACAGCAGTGTCTTTGCAGATCTCTCTTCCTGTTGCGCAAAGATTCTTCCGTCTCTTGTCCAAAACGAATGAATTTTATTGTCGCGTCGAAGTTTGTTCAACTCGCTGACGATCATTTGTCTGTGTTTCGTAACTGACTCTACGTTGATTGTCCGGTGGGCGTTGCCTTTTAACCTTTTCTTCCTCTCGAACACCATCTGCCGGTCATATTTAACGAACAAATCTGGCGATGATTGTTACTCTGGCATCAGTAATTTGACCTAAGATGCGACACCTAGATATAGCATGAGAAGGCATGTCGATATCAAGTTTGCTTAATATGTTTAGTACAGCTTTTAATGGATCGAATGTGAAGCTCGTTTGTCCTTCAGGTACAGGCACATTAAGACATTTTAAACACGTTCTTCTCGAGTACTGTTCATGTTCATCCAAAATGCTAGTTTGATTTTCAACTTTCTTTTCAAGCAGATCAATCGCTTTTTTCAAAGTCTTTGTTTCCTTTTCTTGTACCTCTATTTTCTTAACCTCTGCTTCCCTGTCTACAAGATGAGGATCAGATTGGATTTTACTGTCCACACAATTAGTTATTATACGACCTATACTGTCGTTTGATTCCAGAAGCACTTTTACAGCGCTCTCGATCATCGGACGAAATTCATCTATCAAGGTAGTCTTCAACACCCGGGCAACTAATTGTGACACGGGACCAACAAGTTCATCAATCAAACGTTTAATCACATCAGGTTTAATAGGGAGATCAGCTAGGTTGTGGAGAAGACTGCCCTGCTGTGTGTCCTGAGTGCCCGGGAGACTGGGCGTGACCGGGCGGTGTATTAGAAAATTGCGCTTTTTTTTTTAGAAAAACAGTCCAGGGGTGGACTCACCTAGCTGCAACGTTGTAGTTCTGACAACACTACGGTTTCGTTTGTCATTATCATCTTTTTTATATAATTTTAAATCTAACTAATAAACTTGATCGCAGTTTTCAAACTGTAAGTAGAAACACAGAATGGTGCAACCCACCCCCCCCCCAAACAAAAAACAAAAAAACAAAAACAAAAACAAAAAAACATAATATTTATAACTTGAAAAAACTCGGAATAACGTTAAAGTGAAACGCTAAGCAACGCAAAACAAGAAAGAAAAAACTGTAATTGGTATAACCATTTCATAATATTATCAAAAACAGCCTCATATAAAGTACAAAATGTAACTGGATTTACCCCTTATCGCCAAGGAATTTTTAATGAACTGACGAAAATTTGTCATTTTTTCTTATAACAGAGGAATACAAACTTTCCAAATATTGTGAAAAAATGACGTTACCATAGCAACCTTGAATTTCCTATAATTATCAAGTTTTTTTTTCAATGATGGAAGTGAATGTAAAAAAAATATTTCGGGATATGGTAATGGTACTATATTAATGGTCACTGACAACGATATTTTGAACCTCTCTACATTTTTACAGATATATCACCTGGGTAGTACCATGAATCAATTTTACCACTTGATGAGGTTGTAGTCGAGTGCATTCCGCTAAGGTGAGATTGATTACCGCTCGACGCTTCGGCATTTTTCGGTCTCTTTCTGTGATCTCAAATATCCAGGTGACGTCATTTCTGCTATTGCACATCCACCAGTCGGGACTGACCGGCGGTATCACAAGTCTCTTTTCAAACGAAGTTCTATCATCCACGTTATTTTAGCAGTGAATATATACTGTGTTTTCCAGGTTTTTGTTTTTATAAAACTCTTCATTATCCGCCTAACGTATTAATTGGAAAATACGCTAATTACAGTTTTACCTGTGTTAACACCTGGACACAGGTATAAAATCAGGTTAAAATCAACCCTAATGTTACTAATATGTATATCAGAATGTAATGAGATAACAACAATTATTTATTTCAAATTTCATACACAACATCTAGTACGAATTCATCAAAACTAGCATTTACCGTATTTCATTATAACTAAACTATAAAAAATTTTGTCACTCATTGGTAGCATTTTTAAAAAGAAGTATCCTACGTTGACTTAGTAAAAAAAGTATCATGACATTGCGAAAAACAACAAATACGTCATTATTGTTTGGAAAGTTGTTTTTGCCATTAAAACTGTACTACGCGGTACTTTTGATTTACGTCTCCTTGTTCATTTTTCGCACATGTGTATCCAAATTTAATAAGGATGTATCGTGTACAATCTAGCTAAAAAATAAGGGAGGTAACTCGCATATCTTTATGAACAAATATGGCGGCTCTCAGCAGAACGACACAGTGTTTACATTCGTTATTTTCGCGAGTGCAGCGAGTGGTTACATCACAGTCCCGTAGTATCGGTGACATCTGGGTGGACGGAAGCTGTATTGATCGTAAGTTATCATTTGACCGTATGATACCCATGGATTTTCTTGAAAGCTTCTCATCATCTAGTGTCCTTCAAAACCGCCTGCCAACATTTACTGATTTCGTCTAACACTGACCTACGTTTACACGTATTTTAAATCTTCTTGACATGATCAGAAAATATACTTTATATTTGGTTAAAACCGAAGTTGACAGTTGGTCTTGTCTTTTAATTGGCATAAAGATAGGTCAATATATTTCCTTTCAAATGTACAGTTAAAGCTTAACAAAACAATATACATGTAAAAGTGAAAGTAAGATTATGTTTAAGAGGCAGGCATACTTTATCTAATACATGTACGCATACATATAATTAATTAAAATCATACATACAATTTACAATGTACATGGCATATCTACCGTACATGTGCATATAAATACACGCCTACATAGTCACTATAATCACAGATGTAAATATAAATATTATCTGTATTTAAATACGTACTATAGGCTAATCCACAAACTTTTCCACATGATTTTTTAAATACATCATCATCATCATCATCATCATCATCATCATCATCATCATCATCATCATCATCATCACCATCATCATCATCATCATCTATATATCCGATGATTGATATTTTTTGACATAATTCAATAAATGGTTATGAAAATGTGTTGTTTTTGTAAGAGAAAGAGAGATTGAACAGAAAATTCAGAATACATATTTCTTAATAAGATAAGTTTGTATATTCACATCCTCAATACTCAAAGTGTAACAATAAAAAAATATGTTCACTCTCTGTACCCCTAGAACATGTCATGGCAAAATTGAAAACAAGCCAAGTATTTTTTATTGGTTCCAGGAAAAAAACCTGACCAATTACAGGCTGATATGCTCATTTTTAAGATTACAAAGGAGTGTGATGAATGTGTATATTATAATCCTACCTCCGTTAATGTAGCATATCATTCAGGTCAGAGACATGTAAACAGATCGACTGGTGTTAATCATTTTTGGTTATCTCTATACTTCACGTGCTTGACAGAAGTAGTGTTTATAGAGGCACAAGTAAAACGTATTGGGGATTATATCATTTCTCACCACTAGGTGGTGTTAGTATAGCTATAGGGTATGAATACTCAAAAACCAGCAAGTTGGGGGAGAACTGTTGTGGAGCTTGGTGTATCAACATCAACAATACCCTAGTACCATAAGTAGTGTGTATGTGACCGGCTGTAGTTTGGGAAGATAGAAGTCACTGAATAAGTGTTCCCTTGATCCCTTGGGAGCCTCCAACAAAAAAAATTCAATCTAGAAGCTTAAATATGCATTTTCCTGAATTCTCAGTGTAAAATTAGGGATAGTAAAAAGACTTCACTGTTCACATCAAAAAAAAATCTTGGTTTGTGGCAAATTAAAAAATGCAAGAGGAGTTTCAATTCATTCTTTTAATGATAACTTTTTCTTTAGAGCATTGACGATATGTCTCTATTTGCTACAGTGGACTAAACAAAACCATTTGTATTCTGTTTTGCTACAGTAGACTAAACAAAACCGGTTCTATTCAGTTTCAAAATGTTTATTTTGAGTCTGAAAAGATCACTCTTTTCTTTGCTTTCTTAAAATTTTCCAAGGCAGACTTCAAATTAAAGCTGTCCATGTCCTCCCCGTCAACGCACACCCTGAGGAGCACGTCTTTGTGTCTCGAGAAGCAAAGGATTTCTCAAGGCAGTAGCTATGATGTTCTGAGTGCTAAACCCACGTTCACAACCGGAAGTTAAGCTAACTCTGCCAGTTTCATCAGATTTGGACATTCGTCCCTGTGATATTTTGAAATCAGGTTCCACAGTTGATTCAAGTTGTCTCATGGATACATTTGAGTCACAACTCGTGCAAAAGCCAAGGATATAATCTTCGGAAGGTTCTTCTACTTACAGTGGCTGATTTTTCTTTGTTGTCACTGTCATGATTGTTCGCACCATGCGAGAAAAACGACTGATCAACAAATCGTTCCGAAACAACTTACTTTCAATTTTGTCCCAAAACAAGTCGGGCACTTTATGACGAAACAAGGTCGGTCAATTGTCATATGAGATAGAAAAAAATTCGGTCATTTTTTAATTGAACCGGTCAATGACCGATGACCGACACCTATCAGAATCACTGCAGAACTAGGGGTAATTGTGGTCATTAAAGTGTCGCTGTAACACTAGCATGAATAGGCTGTTAGTGGTTATAAGGTTGTCGTGCTTGATGCGACTAGGTATAGCGACAGCTCATGGTCATAGGGCTACTATAGTGACTACAGTTAGGGTGAGCTACGACGTAGTGGTCGAGTGGGGCTGTGCCTGGTTGGTACAATAGTGTTTGTATATAATTAGTTATATTAATTATTAAGCAGATAGCTTTGGTTGTAGTTTTAGGATGTCATGTAGCGTTGGTTTTGTACGTGCTACAAAATAAACATTAGGAATGTTGGTTACAAGGCAGTAACTCCTATTTGTATATATTTGCATCTGTAGTATAGAACTATATAGTCAAGCTCATAACACAGGGATCCTTAGAAGTGACTAGGGTACAGACCCACTATGTTACAGGAGCAACACCCAACTTCAAAGCCATTACAGTATGCCTTATGTGACCACGAGATTTCTTTTAAGTACATTAAAAGATCAAACTAGTCTTTTTGTTGTGTCCACAAGGTGTCGTACTTGGAACCTTCAATTTTTCCATGACATGTTCCAGGGGTGCAGAGAACTAAAGGAATTGTAACCACTGGAGTGTCGAAGATAGTATTTTTATTGTTTAAAAGTTTTTTAGAAAGAAATCCATAAGAAAGGAAGGGGAAGACACATTCCCACAACATATGAATTCTTGTCTCCACATCAGTCTTATAGTGAGACAGTATGCATTATCAATGAGACCAATCTCGGATAAAAAAGATAAAAGATATGATGATTGATTTACTATAGCCAGTGTAATTCTAAATTTGTTTTGTTACATTACATTTTTTTGGGGAAATTTGGATTGCCTTCTCTTCTAAACAAATCAATGGCAACCTCACTATCAAGCTTTACTATAGATTCTGTAAGAACATTTTCTTGTTCATTTTGTTGTTTTTTCTAGTGAGATGAAAATGAAATATTGTTATTTGAAGTCTTAACTCTTATTTCAAATATCAAGGTCTTCAAAAAATGTTGGTCATGTATCTGAAACTGAATATCTGCATCTGTATGTATAAAATGTAGATTTTTGATTAAAAAGGCATATTACTCCTACAGTCTTCCGTTGACTTTTTCAGACCTGTGCTATGGATGGAGTGTGTTCTGCCCTACTGTTCTAGATCATTGTGTGCCCCAATTAACATTTTGTAGTTACCCTCCAGTGTTGCTGGCTGTTGTTCCAAGCGGTCATCTGTCGCTTTTAATTAAGTCTTCATTTCCTCCTCATGATCAACAGTTCTTTATTCTCCAAATGGTTAGTTCCCTGAGCAATACTCATTTTGTGTCCATGTCAACCTTGGTAAAAAGTGATGATAGTGCTTAATATATTTCATCAAGCTTCTTGTTGCCACCTTTGTCCTTTTCTACAACTTTGTGTATATTGCTCACTCAACATTTTTTAACGGACCATCGCGTTCCAAATGTGTAGGCATAATTCACTACTCAAGAAATGTCACTTCAAAATTATTTTAAACGATAAAACCCAGAATTTGTGTCAAATCAAAGCAATACACTGCACATATGGCCTGGTCCTTATGTGATCACTCTTTTCATAATCCACAAACTTTCTCAATACTGTATACGTGCATGTACATAAACATGATTTTGATGTTCTGTCAGTAAAAAGAAAGCTCATATATTCTCATTTACATAAAGCTTAGGCTAGATATATATATTGTTAAATGTTTTAGATCAAATGACGAATGTATGTGAATTCTTTGTAACATTTCAGCATCTACTGGACTCACTGAAGACCAAAAAGAGATGCGGAGAGTCGCCTTAGACTTTGCAAAAAAGGAATTATTTCCGAACATGGCCACATGGGACCAGGAAGTAATAATGATTATATACATATATTATTATACAGGAAAAAATGTAATAAAAAAAAGGCCATTCAATTATTTTGTTTTGCAGTGATTTTTATAGGATTATTTCAGGCAAATCCAGAATACCATTTCCAATATTTTAATGAATCTCATTACTAAGAGATGTAGTGGGTCCTTAAAATTTGAGTGAGTCCTACAGAAAAGTCATTAGTTCAGAACTCAATTATTGGCCATAACACATCAGATTTTCTCAGAACACCATTTTCAAATCAGTACTATGTATGTAGTTCAATAATCTAATGCCCATAGTTAATTTTGTGTGAACTCACTTTGATATGAATCATGTGAAGTTGTCCCAAAAAAGAATTCAGGTAAAATGTAAGAGAAAGCATGTGTTTGTAATTATTTGTTTGGTTTGTCAGGAGTCATTCCCAGTTGATGTGTTGAAGCGTTGTGCGGCCCTGGGATTTGGTGCTGTGTACTGTAAGGAAGACTGTGGTGGTACGGGACTTTCCAGGCTTGATGCTTCCATGATATTTGAAGCCTTATCCCAGGGCTGTGTTAGTACTACTGCTTACCTCAGCATCCATAAGTAAGTCTACACAAACATTTGTCAGTCGTAGAATTAGCCACTGGTCAACTTGTTTTTGACCAATAAGTTTGCTGATGATTCAATTGGTACAATGTACGTGTAGTCTAATAAGCATTCCCATTACACCAGTATCTTTTATTATAAGTAAATTGCTGCTCAGTATATTTAATAATGTGATCATGAAGAGGTAAAATCAGTTGCTTTGATTTAAAAAAACCTTTAAATGCTTCAGTATGAAAGATCTAGTAATAATCAGAATGTCTTTAATAGTACAATTTCTGCAAAATCATATTTACACACAGCAAAATCCCCACTAATATTAAAAAGATGAAAACTATCTTTGAATGATCTCTTTCTAGAATAACTTCAATCCACGAAACTGTTTGATTCTCAAATCCACAAGAAAGCATCAAATAGTGTTTAGATTTTAATTTTTTTTTCTGGGAAATACACATTACTTGACACCCAGGTATGAGTACATTAAAACCTTTTTTATGAATATTTGTTTAAAGCATGTGTGCCTGGATGATTGATGAATTTGGCTGTGACAACTTGCGGCAGAAGTTTATTCCAGATTTAGCAACACTGGACAAATTTGCTTCTTATTGTCTCACAGAGCCTGGTAAGTGTGTTTTAAATGTTAAGTAAAGGATGAGTTTATGTATGTGTGTGTTTGCATGCATGCATGCTTTATATTAGTATATCCATTCAAGAAAAGTTTCTGTCTCAAAACTGATGTTGGAGTATTTTTCATGTTACATTGTAATTATTTAATTATTTTGGGCTAGATGTGGGAAAGTTGTTCATATAAATGTTAATCATTTAAGAAATACACCATTCCTTTGACACACATGTCACACCTTAGAATTGGTGGACAGATTTCAAGTCATTTTCATATTTGTTGCTTGTTAGAGAGAAATTATCAGGCATGAGATGTTTTCATTTTTTTTATTTTTTGCATTCCTTAATTAAAACTTTTTATTCGATAGATAATTTCGCTTTGGATCATATTTGTCTGCATACTTTAAATAACAATGTTTGTTTGTTATAATTACTACATTTTATTAACAGATTATGGAAGTGATGCTGCTAATATCAAGACGACAGCTGTTGCCAAAGGAGATCACTTTGTTCTTAATGGATCTAAGGTAGGTTGTCATGATTTAAATCAGCCATACCTTAATATTTACCATTGCATGGCATTCATGATTGCTACCTTGTAACCTTATACTTAACAAAGGTAGTTGTGCATTATCAGCTCATGAATTGCCATGGCATATGAGTATTGCAAGGAACTTGCGAATATTGGGGTTGCCTTCCCTTATAATTTGATATTAATACATTACAAGAATGGACAGTGTACAACACCATTACAGTTTGATTGTTCTGTTTCATAGGATATTGTATTCTTATCAGGCAACAAAAAATCTAAGGAAGTTACTTTTGTGTTTTAGATTTGTGTGAAAAAACTTATGTGGTTAGATTAGTATATCAAAGTGAAGTGAATATTTGGGAAGTCCCATTAACTATATTTGGGAACAAATTGAGTTGTATTTAAGTCAAAACATTGTTGTAAAAATTAAAGCACAAATATAAACATCCTGTTTTAAATATATAAGTATATGTTAAGGTTGTTGCTAAGTCATTTAAAGTGTTTTCTGAAATTTAAATCATTTTAAGTCATGTACAAATGAATGTTTCAGTCTTTCATAAGCGGAGGAGGAGAGAGCAATGTGTATGTGGTCATGTGTCGGACAGGAAAAGCCGGAGCTAAGGGAATATCCTGTCTATTAGTTGAGAAAGGTTCCCCTGGACTTTCATTTGGACAAAAAGAAAAGAAGGTAAACACAGTTTAACAAGTTATCTCCCTTAAACTTATGGTGAACTTCAGAACAGACATGGATGACATACTAATAAAAATAATTAAACGTAGTGTTAATTGAGAAAGATGCAAACTCAGGCAATAATACTGTACAATTGATGAAAATCATTATTAATAAGTTTCATGTGCTCCAGAAAACAACAGTAAATTGTCAATTATTATGTTCAGATCAGCATCCAAAAAAACTATTTTTCAGTGTATTTATCATTAAAGTATCTCTTTCCAGTATTTCACTTTGATAAATTTGTATCTCCCATAGATGGGATGGAATTCACAGCCAACACGCCAAGTGATATTCGAGGACTGTGTGATTCCTGTGGAGAATCTGATTGGAGAGTTAGGAGATGGATTCAAGATTGCCATGAGAGGCCTCAACGGAGGAAGAATTAATGTCGGTGAGGGTTTTGTAAGCTATACAAAATTTTCAAATTTCTTTAAGTCTTCACCCTTTGGTATTTTGAGAATTAGCCTTGCCAGTATGTTAATTATGTTTTGTGTTGACATCAACATCAAAATTGTCTGATAATTTTCTTGTTTATGACAATCTTTACCATAATTATAAAGATTTATGTCGTTGATATCACATTCTCTTCATACTTATAAAATGAGCATTCTAACAGTTGAGTAGAGACAAGCAACAGTGCCGTAGTGCATTATAATGATCATAGAGGTCATTTGTCAACTTTTTACCCCACAGTCCATCCATCCGTCCGTCCGCACGTCTAGGCGTTTGTCTTATGTCCACAATTGCATACCACTCATTATCTCAAAAACTACATCACCGGTCATCACCATTTTCACTGGGGATGTTGGGCCTATTGACCTATACAACCCTATCGTTTTTCGTCACCGCGCGATATCCAATATGGCGGTTACGGTGCCATCTTGAATTTGCATTCCGCTCATTATCTCAAGAACTACATCACCGGTCATCACCATTTTCACTGGGAATGTTTGGCCTATAGACCTATACAACCCTATTGTTTTTCGTCACCGCGCGATATCCAATATGGCGGTTACGGTGCCATCTTGAATTTGCATTCCGCTCATTATCTCAAGAACGACAACACCGGTGGTCACCATTTTTACTGAGGATGTTGGGCCTATTGACCTATACAACCTATTGGTTTTCATTGCCGCCTGATATCCAATATTGCAGTTACGGGCGCCATCTTGAATTTGCATTCCGCTCATTATCTCAAGAACGACAACACCGGTGGTCACCATTTTCACTGTGGATGTTGGGCCTATTGACCTATACAACCCTAATGTTTTTTGTCGCCGCCCGATATCCAATATGGCAGTTATGGGCACCATCTTGAATTTGCATTCCGCTCATTATCTCAAGAACGACAACACCGGTGGTCACCATTTTCACTGAGGATGTTGGGCCTATTGACCTATACAACCCTTATGTTTTTTGTCGCCGCCCGATATCCAATATGGCAGTTACGGCCGCCATTTTGAATTTGCATTCCACTCATTTTCTTAAGAACGACATCACCGGTGACCACCATTTTCACTGAGGATGTTGGGCCTAAGGGCCTACACAACTCTATTGTTTTTCATCGTCGCTTGATATCAAATATGGCAGTTACAGCCACCATCTTGAATTTGCATTCCGCTCATTATCTCAAGAATGACATCATCGGTAATCACCATTTTTGCTGAGCGTGTTGGGTCTTTGGACCTACACAACCCTTTTGTTTTTTCGTCGTCGCCCGATATGCAATGTGGCGGTTATGGCCGCCATCTGGAATTTGCATTCTGCTCATTATCTCAAGAACGACATCACCAGCGATCACCATTTTCGCTGGGCATGTTGGGCCTATGGACCTACAAAGCCTATTGATGTTCTTCACAATCTCAGCCCTGCACCCAACTTTATAATAAGGCTGTGGGGTATTGCCCGCATTTGCGGAGCTATGTTTTGTGCTTGCAGCTTCCTTTGATAATTTCAGGAGATTTTTTCAGAACCTAAAAGCTTAAAATTCCTTAAGTTTTTTAAGTAGTTTTAAACACTGTTATATATAGAAGTGGAAGATAGTTTTCATACAAATTCTAAAAAGTCAAAAAGACCTTACCTGCATGTCACTACATGTTTATTAAGTTGTTAATACATTTTACCACAAATGTCTTGTTTCTTAGGTCTATAACTTCATTATAATCCTGTTTAATATGTCTTATTACGGTACAGTAAATTTAATGGTAATATTATTATCCATGAATGTGAAATGTTATCGCTGATAAATTGTCGATAATGATTCATTCTAGTGATGCATGAGCCATTTCTTTGTTCTGTATATTTTGATAAGTACCTGAGTGCTGAGATGTCATTTATGTTACAGCTTCCTGCTCACTTGGTGGTGCCCAGTCAAGTATAGAACTCTGCAGAGATTACCTGAAAGTGAGGAAGCAGTTTGGAAAAACACTAGATAACTTTCAGGTAATGAACAAGATTTCATTTATGCATTTTGGGTGAGAGGTTGTATATAGTGTCACTCATGCTGGACCATCCTGTCTGTTCACATCCCGTTTTGAATTAGTATTATGTAATGAGATCCTTTTTCCATATCTGGTTCATATTTACCTCATAGTAACATAAAATCTACACCTGATCAAATTCTGATTTGCAAGACATTCATGTTAAATAGACATTTTTATGCCCCTGTCATACATGGTCAGGGGCATGTAGTGTTGCACTTTCTGTCATTCCATCTCTTCTCCTTTACTTTGTCTTCGCAGGTCCTCCTGGACCCTTCCAAATATTTTAGTCAAACTTGGTAAAGAGAAAGACCACATTGTGTAGATGTGCATATTGCAAGGGAAATATTGTTCAAACTTTTTTACATGAGTTATGGCCCTTGGACTTATTAGGTTCAACATTTGAATGCGGATCCAACTATCGTGAAGGTGTCATCCATCTCCCAAAAAATTATTGAACATTTTAAAGCATTAAGTATTCTCACTGAATTCATTGAACAACCACTGTTTATGGCTCCAAATAAGATCTTGATTTTGCCAATTCAATCAACCCCCTAGATGCATGTATACATGCATACTACTGCTCTGACCACGATGAAGTTGTGATTAAAAGATTAAAGGTAAATATATCTTTCTTTTGTATGTAGATTAAATATAATGTCCACCTAGAAATGTACGTCAGTGCCAGTGGGGGCATTTGTGGTGCTGTTCGTTTTATTTATTCTAGTTTTATTAATCATTCATTTAAATTTCAACATGATTTTAAGATTTTAATTTTTGTTCTTGATTCGTAAACAATCTTATACAAGTGTTTGTTTTGATAATGATGATGATGATACACAATTTTTGTCTGTATTAAACATGCTGTATTTAACAACTGCTTTACCATTCCATATATCTCTAGCCTTTATCTATCTCTTATAAGATCTTGTGATATATTTCTGCTATCATTGACAGTATTTACAGTTTCGGTTAGCGGAAATGGCCACTAATTTAGTTGTGTCCAGGAACATGGTGAGAACTGCCGCCCGGTCACTGGACGAGAATTGGCCGCAGAGGGTCATCTTATGTTCTATGGCCAAACTTTTTGCCACAGAAGAGTGTTCAAAGGTGGAGTGAATACAGTATAATGGCTCAGACTTTTCCAATGAATATTTATTAAATGATTTGATCAATAGTATGTTTATAATCATGTAATACATGTAAATGATTGGTAGGTTATTGAATTATTTTCTTCTGAAGATTTGTTGCATATCCCTTTAGTTATCTGGTGTAAAAGTAATTTAGTATAATAAGTACATGTATAATGAAATGCTTTGAAGAATTACCAGAATTTTCCTTCCTGACAGATATGTAATGATGCAATACAGCTCCATGGAGGGTATGGTTATTTGAAGGACTACCCAGTACAACAATACACACGAGATACCAGGGTGCATCAGATTTTGGAAGGTAGATGTCAGATCACATGTAGTTGATCAACTTTAAATTCTTGTATTCAAAATGTTCTATCTTTCGATTAAGTAAATTGGACAGATGAGCTACACATCATCCTTCTTTTCTATGTTGTTCTATGTTTCCCACATCAAACATAAAAACAGAGAAACAGAAAATCTGAAGTATTTTAGGTGTTCTTTTCATCCTAAATCAAGAAGGAAATCTATATAAATCTATACGTCACATATTATCTTTGTCTCTATTTACCAGGTACCAATGAAGTGATGAGAATGTTAATATCCAGAGATTTACTGACAGACGATGAGAGGAAGTGATATACAGATGGAAGCACCTTGATAACACTGCTATAATATTTCTGTGATAAGAAATACTGGTGTCTGGTGTAGCTTGAACACAATATCTGACTGATGAATAATATCAACTTATATCCGAAAAATATGAAAAACCAGCTGGTACTGTTACACATGTCTGTGATATTGAGAGTGTAGCTACAACATGTTTTACAGTGAACTTACTACCTAATAAACAATGACTGTATTTATCTGCTGCTCTACAGCTGCCCAGTGTTCAGTTGCGATGTCATAATGTCTATTTATACTTACCGAGATTAGTTTTAACAAATCTGCTGTCATTCAATCAGGTTTCTGAAATCTTGACCATTTTTTGTGTAAGGGAGAAGTTTTTCAAAATGAACTATAGCGGCATAAAGAGAATGGTGTTTTATAACAACTGTTATTTCAGATATGATGAAATAGTGGTTATCATAGTGGTAACTCTCTTGAAATGGAGGCGATTTTATGTCATTGGGGTAGCAAGCTTGACAGCAGATATCAAACCACTGGTTGGTGCTCTTCAACAATCTCAACATTATGTACAGTAGGTTTTTTTTTTTTTTTTTTCCAAATATATCAAATTTTGGCAGATGATATTGTGATATTGAGATAATTTTTCATTATGAGATTATTTGTAGGACTTTGGAAGTATTGAAATTATTTGTTTCTCTTCATTCAGATGTATTTTCATTTGTACATTTGCCTGCAAAATCTTGCTATTGACGAGATTTATGTCTTGTTAACTCTAGCACAGGATTCACATAAAGGGCCATAACTCCTCAGCTATCGGGAAAGAGTATTGTATAACTAAAGATATAGGGATGTCTCTTATATCCATACCACCTATACTTGTTGCTAGGGGTAGAAACACCCCCATATCGGTATATTTGATTTTGGAACAATCCTAACACAGTAAACTGATCACTGAAATAGTATTGGAGATAATATCAATCATGGGAGGTACATGTATCTAATTTTGTATGGACTTGTTAAGCCTTATAACAATAAAAAAACAATCATATTGTTAAGTATTTATTTTTGTCACAATATACCAATACAGAGACTCGAGAATTGACCTCCAGAGAACTACAATATACTCAACATCGGGACTTCAGAGCTAATATTTACAAAATATACCCGACAAAGGGACTAGCGAATATTTACACAATATACATGTATCACACTCAAGGACTACAGAACTAATATTTACACGATATACCTGACACAGGGACTAGAGAGCTAATCTGTACACAATATATCCGGCACAGGGACTAGAGAGCTAATCTTTACAACATATACACGACACAGGGACTAGAGAGCTAATCTTTACACAATACACCCGACACAGACAGTAAAAATCTAATCTTTACACAATATATCCGACACAGTGACTAGAGAGCTAATTTTTGCACAATATATCCGACACAGGGACTAGAGAACTAATATTTAAACAACATATCTGACACAGGGACAAGAGAACTAATATTTAAATGATATACCTTACACTGGGACTAGAGAGTTAATCTTTAGACGATATACCTGACATTGGGACTAGAGAGTTAATCTGAACACAATATACTCATAACAGGGAGAAGAGAGCTAATCTTTACACAATATATCCGGCACAGGGACTAGAGAGCTAATCTTTACACAATATAGCCAAAACAGGGACTAGAGAGCTTATCTTTACACACTTATCCGACACCTGGACTAGAGAGTTAATTTTTTATCAGTATATCAAACACAGGGACTAGAGAGCTAATATTTAAACAACATATCTGACACAGGGACTAGAAAGCTATTTTTTATCAATATATCAAACACAGGGACTAGATAACAAATGTTTACACGATATACCTTACACTAGGACTAGAGAGTTAATCTGAACACAATATACTCGTAACAGGGAGGAGAGAGCTAATCTTAACACAATATATCCGGCACAGGGACTAGAGAGCTAATCTTTACACACTTATCCGACACCAGGACTAGAGAGCTAATTTTTCATCAGTATATCAAACACGGGGACTAGAGAGCTGAAATTTAAACAACATATCTGACACAGGGACTAGAAAAGTACTTTTTTATCAATATATCAAACACAGGGACTAGATAACAAATGTTTACACGATATACCTTACACTAGGACTAGAGAGTTAATCTGAACACGATATACCTGACATTGGGACTAGAGAGCAAATCTTAACACAATATATCCAATACAGGCACTAGAGAGCTGATCTTTATAAATATATCAAACACAGGGACTAGAGAGCAAATCTTAACATAATATATCTGATACAGGCACTAGAGAGCTTATCTTTATAAATATATCAAACACAGGGACTAGAGAGCTAATCTTTACTCGATATACCTGACACTAGGACTAGAGAGCTAACCTTTACACCATATACACGACACAGGGACTTGAGAGCTTCTCTTTACACAATATATTCATAACAGGGAGAAAAGAGCTAATCTTTACACAATATATCCGGCACAGGGACTGGAGAGCTAATATTTAAACAACATATCTGACACAGGGACTAGAGAGATAATTTTTTTATCAATATATCAAACACAGGGACTAGATAACAAATGTTTACACGATATACCTTACACTAGGACTAGAGAGTTAATCTGAACACGATATACCTGACATTGGGACTAGAGAGCAAATCTTAACACAATATATCCAATACAGGCACTAGAGAGCTGATCTTTATAAATATATCAAACACAGGGACTAGAGAGCAAATCTTAACACAATATATCCGATACAGGCACTAGAGAGCTTATCTTTATAATTATATCAAACACAGGGACTAGAGAGCTAATCTTTACACAATATACCTGACACAGGGACTAGAGAACTAATATTTACATGGGATACCTGACATTGGGACTAGCGAGTTAATCTTTACTCGATATACCTGACACTAGGACTAGAGAGCTAACCTTTACACCAGATACACGACTCCGGGACTTGATAGCTTCTCTTTACACAATATATTCATAACAGGGAGAAGAGAGCTAATCTTCATAATTCTTTACAAGGTCATTTATAGTATGTATGCCAGCATTAAACCATCTTGGATAAAAAACACATTTATTCCCCACCTGAATGTCTTTATTATACCACAAAGGACTTTTTAAAAGAGATTTGAAATAACGTTGCGTAATAAGCTCCAAGTTATTTAGTTTAATCATACTTTTAAATACTTCTTTCCAGAATGCATTTCTACAATTTAAACAACAAGAGTTAACATCTTCTATCCCACAATTTAACATTTTTTTCTCATCTATGATAGTATTCAATAATATTTTCCATTTCCCTGATGAGTGAAATATTCTTCTGCTCGAGCTTAGTTTGAGAGAATCTATGAAAGCTACAATATCTATCATTTTTAATCCCCCGTCTATATAATTCTGAATAACCACAGCTTTTTTTATCTTATGTTGTTTACCATTCCAGAGGAAATTAAATAAAATAGAGCTCAGTTTACCAAGAAAATTATTGGAAGGATTTGGTACGGTAATAAATAAATAATTGAACTGGGAAATTAACAAAGATTTTATTACCGGGTATATTGATTCTACCTAATGGAGTAAGCCTACGTCTTTCCCACATATTAATAAGTGCCTTTAATTTTACAAGTTTCATTCGAAATTTGTTTTATTCTTTGTTGTTTTTATCATCAGTCTATCATATATGACCCATGCCTCTAACTAGGTGAAGGGGGTAGTCCAATATGTTGGATCAGAGAAGGGTTTTTGCCCCAAAAGGGTAGTTAGACAATACTTCACTTTAAACACTACTCTTCCCTAATGCTTAAGTGGACTCCATTCAAATTTTGTCTGTAACATCAGTAGGGGTTAGCAAATAACTCTTAAATTTAGATGCACAGAACCTACCATTTATGAGTTTCCGATATTTTCAAGGAATGTTCAAAATCTAAATTCACCAGATTTGTCAGATCAGTGATTACTAATAGGTAATTTAATTTGGAGTCCGATCAGTGAAACATTTCATGCATGTACACCATGTTGTTTTTACCAAGGGTGCAGTAACAAAATCATCATTTGTCACACCAAGTGTTGAAAGCCAGATGTATGTAGGCAAATGCTTTGAGACTGTACATTAAAGTATCAACTTCAAGATATTAACTGAACTACTGACTATAGGCTCTCTGTATAACCCCACAATGTCAACACTTCTGGTCAGTAATATGGAACTAATAAGGATGTTTATGGGTTATTATTAATTCCATACATGGACTGTGTAAGATTGCTATGCATTCTAAAAATGCAGTTAAGAAATTGTCTGATATCTTAGTTTTTCCCAGTGGACATTTCCTTTTTCCAGTTCAAATATTTCAGTACCAGAAGACGAAAGGGTTGGACTCGAGTAATATGAGTATTATTAACACCCTTTCCTTATAACATACAATGTAGAATGTACAAATCATAGAGTGTCTAAACTAATTTGAATATGATAAACATATTATTGTATTGCGATAGATTTCCCTCCATATATCATATATATTTGACGCAGAAACATAAAATACACACATTCAGGCTATCCATGTAGAATTTCTAATAAATATAGCCATGCAGATGGTACCAGTCAGGTCACTTGTAACAGTAATATAACACGTTTGTTTCCGTTGAGTTTTTTTTTAATTCACAAAGAATAAGAATGGTCACCCATGTCCATGGTCATTAAAGGCAGTATGAACACGATGAATAATGACCTGCTAAAATAGATAAGTATCAACTTCGTAGAAAATTGCGGGAATGGCATGCTACATCTTGAATCCAGTGTAGTATACTCTTATGTAGAATACCTTTCATGGAAACCAAATACTGTGTATTTTCAGTGCTGTCAAACTGTCACAAGGTCTTGAAAGTCAAACTTGCAAAAAATACAACTACGACTCATTAATGGCCAGCGAAGATTCAAAGAAATGTGGGCATGTTTTATGCGTTGAAAAATATCAGAACCACATTAGTTTGGAAATAGCATAGCATTGTAGTAAATACTTCCCAGTGTCAACAAAATACGAAACTAAAGCGGTTAGACAATTTACAGGATCGGGCAGAATCGGACTTGAATAGTGCCGTTTCAATGATTTTAAGACTTTCTTTTGCATTGATATAATCATATGGTTCATATTATGATAACTTTTTAAGGAAAAATGGAGACGTATTACATAAAAAAGAAAAATGAAGATTTATTACATAAAACACTCATATCTGTTTTGGTCGCGCAAAACCGAAAGACGACTTGCAGGATAGGACAGAATCGGGCGGTTTAGATGTAGGATTTGGACAATGAATTGTTGTTAGTGTAATTATTGTAGTGTTGAATGAATTTGGTTAAAATGTCACAATTTCACATTGATCAAAAACGGCCAAAAAAGATATTATTCTACCCAGATTCTGCCCGATCCTGCCCGATTCTGTAAATCGTCTGACCCAATCACAACATCGTAGACGAAATCAAGACGATGCCGAGAAGTCGATCCCGGTCACCGAGAAGAGGTATAATTTCATTGAAACTGTAATATACAAAAACAATACAGTGGTATATGTAAATGAAGAGTATCACTTTAATTGTTATAACTACAACAATTCAACATACGTCAGTTCTGTTGATCCGGACAGACTACAAGGCCGAATTGTTTAGTCCGATACAACAGGCCAAGCCACAGCTTTATTATTGGTTATATAATTGTAGGGAACTAGGTCTAGGTCTTGCATCGATGACTTAATTACCGAGGTCATTCAGAAACCTAATACATATTTATAATATACACAATTTACATAGATCTCTTGGTAAATGAAATGTACCGAGATGAACCGATGCCACTGCCCCCTCCCAGTCATAATCAATGGGTATGTAACGGGATGGGTGTACTCACGTTTTGAGTAGGCCTGACAGACGGAATTGACTTACAAAATTTGTACGTGGAAATAATGACCAGCGACAGATGAACAATTAACATAAATTGATTCAAGAAGAATTACAAGACAATGAACATAAAATACAGAGGCAGACAAACTTAGTCACAAACATTGCACATTTACATTACGACTCACCACAGGAAATACATGTAGAGACAACCCCCAACCCACACTATATGGCTAACATATTTAGCTAATAAATCTGCACCAAAAACCACTCATCCTGAAACCTTACAAAACAGAGATGGAAAGAAAGAAAGAGAAAACAGAGTGTGACCGAAATCTCACAAATTAAATCTTAATAGCGGCGAACTTACTTGCGACCACCGAGTTTCAATACCCAAAATCCACTAATTGAATCAGTGGCCAATCACAGCTTGAATCGAACGCACCTGACCCACAAATAATCTTGAACCCAAAATATCCTTGCACATACCCATATGAAGCGTGCAAGGTATGCTACCTGTGACTGCATCACATGGAAAGATGGGTAAAACCTGACACGTAGCCTAACCCTCATTTGCATAGACTAGACAGCAAAATACACAAGGGACACTCAGTGCAAAAAACATAAACAGTTGATAGACTAATACCCAAGTCAAAACGAGCCCCGTTACAAGTATATTCACCCTACCAGTGCTCCAACATAAAACATAGTTTTTTTCCCCCTTTTAATCTTAGTACTTGTCAGTGACTGAAATTAGTGTTGTGTAATCTCACCTGTGTAGCCTAGTGGGTTGTGGTTTATCGACAGTACTCGAAGACTATGATGTGTTGTACACATTTATTTGTTGGACACATTGAAAAAACCTACAATAAAACATACATCTTTCAATCAATATATTAGAACATAACAAACGGAAAACAGCAGCGATACATAATTATATATAACTAGATTTATATGCTAATAATTGCAAATATACATATAATTACATACCAGGAATGGCTGTCCACTTGATCACCAACTTATCGATGCTAATCTTGACATCCGTCACCAGACATCAATAATAAGGTGAAGACCCATGGCAGAGGGGCCCAGGTCTTTATATATATTAGGTGCTATGGTGGCAGGAAATATACATGTATTGTCTAGGCAGTGTTGTCGCCTGTCGATTGATCAATTGTCCAGTGTTCAGTCATAATACAGCAGATACTGGTACACCCACAAACGTTTAAGAAACAGAGTATAGACAAAGACATATAATACAGTGTATGACATTACACAGGCTTACATGTACCAATATGTCCCTTAAAACAATGTTTCCGGGTTACACCTGTATAGGATTTCGACATATTATGTGGGTTATCACAGGTGTATATATACCACTGAGCGAACCCACGGCTCACTCTCACTCCCAGAGTGCGCTGGGGTGTTCATGTGTGTCAGAGATCGCTAGGACCTGCGGTGGGTCAACCCCACAGCACTGAGTGTCAGACATGTTTACCTATTTCGGGTGCCCACATAATAAGTCGCATTCCCCTCTAGATTGTACCATTATTCATGTCTGCACCATTTTGAAGAAATATGTCAAAACTGCAGTACCTTTTGTTTCATTAATTAAGGTTTCAAAAGGTATATCAAAACTTTATTATTTCCCATATCAGCAAAACAATGGTTCTTTACTCTTTGACAATGTAAGACAAGAGTGCCGTGGACACAACTTCCAGCACATCCACCAATTGTAGTAGTGATATTGAGCAAGTTTCGTGAAAATCTGTTCATTAGTTTAGGAGGAGTTACATTCACAAGGCTCCACTATGAGCAAGCTACAGACACAAAGTTGAAAATGGCATCAATCTTACAAAAATCAAAGAACCGAAAAATCACCCTTTCATGCACATCAAACCATTGTATTAGTGACATTGAGCAAGTTTTATGAAAATCTGATCATTAGTTAAGTAGGAGTTGCTTTCACAAAGCTCCACTAAGAGCAAGCTACAGATACAAAGTTGAAAATGGCATAAATCATGCAAAAATCAAAGAACCGAAAAATCACCCCTTCATGCACATCTACCCATTGTAGTAGTGACATTGAACAAGTTTCATGAAAATCTGATGATTAGTTTAGGAGGAGCTGCATTTACAAGAAATGGACGTACGGACGGACATATACGGACAGACGGAGATGACGCCAATATACGACTGCCTCCGGCGGCATATAAAAAACGAGCCATTAGGATGCCATTAGGTAGACTTTCTCTGTACAATCCACCTTGGATATTAATTGTTTCACTACTCTATGAAATTAAGATGTTTTAATACATTTTTGACACTTATTGAAGGTATGTTTTATTGAAATTAAACATGAAACTTTCAGCATTTTTTCTCCATCCATTAGTTAAATAAAGCAATATTAATTATTCAGATAAAATGGTATCTAGCTGAGTATATGTACATCTATATAATCATCGGTATTACCATCTGAAGATTCACATACTATTAGGTTACGTTAAACAAATGTGGACACAAACCTCCTTGAGTTGATCACAATTTGATAATTACGAAATGCATGTCAATTAATTGGAAGTTAATTACAAGTTTTCTTTCTAGTAATTGTCTGTCAACACAAGTGCGATCATTGGTTATTTACTTCTAAGGCTAAATATATACAAGATGCAAGAAAGTTTATACAAAGAAATGTCCAACATTAGCTCGAAAGAGGGTCTCTGTATGTAGCTAGAATCAGACCTATGTAGGAAAGCAGAACTATAATATTATGATTTTTCTCTCTTTTTATTTATGTATTCTAGAGACAGGGATCAATCTAGTACATATACATCCTTTGTCCAAATAAAAGGCTGATGTAATGCTCACAATTCGATGAATCTTTATAAATATAGTTTTCTATTCATGATCAATTTTGTCAATTGCATATGTTTTACAATTAATTTCTTTCATATTAGAATACACATTAAGCAATATACCCTAAAGTTAACCAATGGAATTACTTCGCTTATGCCTTTAATTTTGCCAGGACATGTTTCAGGTCTGCAGAGAGTGAAAGTGATTGTAATCCATGGAGTATGAAGGTTGATGATAGAGTTGTGTGAAAAAAGAAAGATAAGCAGAAAGAAAATTCATGCCTTAAAATCAACAAAATGAAAAAATGTCATGCTGTACAGCATATAGATATATCAGGTGTGGGTGTGTGCTGTTTAAAATGAATACATATTCAGTATATTATTATTTATATTTCCAGAAAGAAGACATTCAAGAGAAAGAAGACGTAAGTAAGGGTTAGAATATTAAAAATCACAAGACAGGAAACAAAGGGTTATCTTTACTGAGTACTTGATCCTCTCAGAAACTAGATAAAACATAGATTTTCAATTTGAATGTGCATGAAGATCAATTTTCTATATTTCAAATTCATTGTAGGTCGCCGCAAAAGTAGATCAAGGTCAAGGTCACCAAGACGCAGGTCAAGAGATCGGCACAGGTCAAGGTCACCGGCATCTAGTTACAGACACAGGTAGATTGGGAGGTCAAAAAAGTTGAAAATAGCATGTGGTACCAAATACTTTATTGTAACTTTAAATTAACTGTAGTTTTCTGGATTTTACAATCTAGCTTCTGTTAGAAATAACTCTAATATAAAGCTACTTTGATACAGAAGTTGGAACAAAACCTTTGAACCAGCCTTAACATTTATACAGCTAATCTGACACCAGGCTCTGACCCATAATATTGAACCAGCTCCAATATTATATACCTACTCTGACAAAGGGCTTTAAACCACACCATTGATGACCATATGTGAATGCAGTTGGTGTTTTGTTGAGAAGAGTCTTTGGAACAATAGAATTTTATGTGGTCAGCTGACAATACTAAATTTATTAGGTTATTTGTTTAGTTGTATACAAAAAGAATATAATTGATGTGATAATGAAACTGCTACATTTCAGTAAAACTAGGAGTTAATTTTGTATCTGTTTGTTATGAAGATTAAATCTTTTAACATCAATAAATTTTATTTCAATTGAATTTTATCAATAATGATTAATTTTGTTAATCAGTTCTGACCTCTATTTTCTTTTTACAGGGAAAGGAAAAGCCGAGAACATGTACCAGAGAGACAGAAATTACAAGAATTTGACCAGTACCACACCAAACCTCCAGGTAGTATCATCCCAAATCTCCCAGTAGCATCACCCCAAACCTCTCGGTAGTATCATCCCAAACCTCCCAGTAGTATCACTTAAAACCTCCCATTAGTATAACTCCAAACCTCCCATTAGTATCATCCCAAACCTCCAAGTAGTATTACTCCAAACCTCCCAGTAGTATCACACCAAACCGCCCAGTAGTATCACCCCACACCTCCCAGTAGTATCACACCAAACCTAGTAGACTCACTCCAAACCTCCCAGTAGTATCAACCAAAACCTCACAGTAGTATCACCCCAAACCTCCCAATAGTATCACTCCAAACCTCCTGGTAGTATCACCCCAAACATTCCAGTAGTGTCACCCCAAACTTCCCAGTAGTATCACCCCAAACATCCCAGTAGTATCACCCGAAACCTCCCAGTAGTATCACTCGAAACCTCCCAGTAGTATCACTCAACACCTCCCATTAGTATAACTCCAAACCTCCCATCAGTATCATCCCGAACCTCCAAATAGATTCTTTCCAAACTTCTCAGTAGTGTCACACCAAACCTCCTAGTAGTATCACCCCATATCTCCAAGTAGTATCACTCTTAACATCCCAGTAGTATCACCCGAAACCTCCCAGTAGTATCACCCCAAACCTCCCAGTAGTATCACTCAAAACCTCCCATTAATATAACTCCAAACCTCCCATCAGTATCATCCCAAACCTCCCAATAGATTCTTTCCAAACTTCTCAGTAGTATCACACCAAACCTCCTAGTAGTATCACTCCATACCTCCTAGTAGTATCACCCCATACCTCCAAGTAGTATCACCCCAAACCTCCTAGTGGACTCCCTCTTAACCTCCCAGTAGTATCACCCCAAACCTCCCAGTAGTATCACTCCAAACCTCTCAGTAGTATCACCGCGAACCTCCCAGTAGTATCACTCAAAACCTTCCCATCAGTATCACCCCGAGCCTCCCAGTAGTATCACCCCAAACATCCCAGTAGTATCACCCAAAACCCCCCAGTAGTATCACCCCAAACCTCACAATAGTATCACCCCAAACCTCCCTGTTGTATCACCCGAAACACTCTAGTAGTATCACTCCAAACCTCCCAGTAGTATCACCACGAACGTTCTAGTAATATCACCCTTAACATCCCAGTAGTATCACCCGAAACCTCCCAGTAGTATCACCCGAAACCTCCCAGTAATATCACCCCAAACCTCCAAGTAGTATCACCCAAACCTCCCTGTTGTATCACCCGAAACACTCTAGTAGTATCACTCCAAAGCTCCCAGTAGTATCACCCCAAACGTCCCAGTAATATCACCCTTAACATCCCAGTAATATCACCGGAAACCTCCCAGTAGTATCACCCCAAACCTCCAAGTAGTATCACCCTTAACATCCCAGTAGTATCACCCCAAACCTCCCAGTAGTATCACTCCAAACCTCTCAGTAGTATCACCGCGAACCTTCCAGTAGTATCACTCTAAACCTCCCTGTAGTATCAACCCAAACCTCCAGTAGTATCACCCCAACATCCAAGTACTATCACTCCAAGCCTTTCTTATTAGTATCACCGCAAACCTACCATTAATATCATCCCATAGCTCCCAGTAGCAGCAATCCAAACCCCTCAGTAGTATCACCCCAAATCTTCCAGTAGTATCACCCAAAACCTCCCAGTAGTATCACCCCAAATCTTCCAGTAGTATCACCCAAAACCTCCCAGTAGTATCACCCCAAACCTCCCATTAGTATTACCCCAAAACTCCCAGTAGTATCACACCAAACCTCCCAGTAGTATCACACCAAACCTCCCAGTAGTATCACTCCAAACATCCAGTAGTATCACTGCAAACACTCTAATATTATCACCCCAAACCTCCCATTAGTATTACCCCAAAACTCCCAGTAATATCACCCCAAACATCCCAGTAGCATCACCCCAAACCTCCCAGTAGTATCAACCCAAACCTCCTCGTAGTATCACTCCAAACCTCCCAGTAATATCACCCTTAACATCCCAGTAGAATCACCCCAAACCTCCCAGTTGTATCACCCCAAACCTCCCAGTAGTATCACCCCAAACGTCCCAGTAATATCACCCTTAACATCCCAGTAGTATAACCCCAAACCTCCCAGTAGTATCACTCAAAACCTCCCATCAGTATCATCCCAAACCTCCCAATAGATTCTTTCCAAACTTCTCAGCAGTATCAAACCAAACCTCCTAGTAGTATCACCCCATACCTCCAAGTAGTATCACTCGAAACCTCAAAGTAGTATCACCCCAAACCTCCTAGTGGACTCCCTCTTAACCTCCCAGTAGTATCACCCCAAACCTCCCAGTAGTATCACTCCAAACCTCTCAGTAGTATCACCACGAACCTCCCAGTAGTATCACTCAAAACCTTCCCTTAGTATCACCCAGAACCTCCCAGTAGTATCACTCAAAACCTCCCATCAGTATCATCCAAAACCTCCCAATAGATTCTTTCCAAACTTCTCAGCAGTATCAAACCAAACCTCCTAGTAGTATCTCCCCATACTTCCAAGTAGTATCACTCGAAACCTCAAAGTAGTATCACCCCAAACCTCCTAGTGGACTCCCTCTTAACCTCCCAGTAGTATCACCCCAAACCTCCCAGTAGTATCACTCTAAACCTCTCAGTAGTATCACCGCGAACCTCCCAGTAGTATCACTCAAAACCTTCCCTTAGTATCACCCCAAACCTCACAATAGTATCACCCCAAACCTCCCAGTAGTATCACCGCCAAACCTCCAGTAGTATCACCCCAAACCTCCCAGTAGTATCACCCCAAACCTGCCATTAGTATAACCCCAAACCTCCCAGTCATATCTCTCCATACCTCCCACTAGTATCACCCCAAACCTCCGAGTACTATCACTCTATACAATCTAGTAGTATCACCCCAAACCTCCTAGTGGACTCCCTCTTAACCTCCCAGTAGCATCACCCCAAACCTCCCAGTAGTATCACTCTAAACCTCTCAGTAGTATCACCGCGAACCTCCCAGTAGTATCACTCAAAACCTTCCCTTAGTATCAACCCGAACCTCCCAGTAGTATCACCCCAAACATCCCAGTAGTATCACCCCAAACCTCCTTGTAGTATAACTCCAAACCTCACAATAATATCACCCTTAACATCCCAGTAGTATCACCCGAAACCTCCCAGTAGTATCACCGCCAAACCTCCAGTAGTATCACCCCAAACCTCCCAGTAGTATCACCCCAAACCTGCCATTAGTATAACCCCAAACCTCCCAGTCATATCTCTCCATACCTCCCACTAGTCTCACCACAAACCTCCCAGTATTATCAACCCAAACCTCCAGTAGTATCACCCCAAACCTCCCAGTAGTATCACTCCAAACGATCTAGTAGTATCACCAAAAACTTCTCAGTCATATCACCCTTAACCTCCCAGTAGTATTACCCCAAACCTCCCAGTAGTATCACTCAAAACCTTTCTATTAGTATCACTCAATACCTCCCAGTAGTATCACCCCATATGTCCCAGTAGTATCACCCCAAACCTCCCAATAGATTCTTTCCTAACTTCCCAGTAGTATCACTCCAAACCTCCCAGTAGTATCACCCCATACCTCCCAGTAGTATCACCCCAAACCTCCCAGTAGTATCACCCCAAACCTCCCAATAGATTCTTTCCTAACTTCCCAGTAGTATCACTCCAAACCTCCCAGTAGTATCACCCCAAACCTCCTGTAGTATCACCCCAAACCTCCCAAGAAGTATCACTCCAAACACCCTAGTATTATCACCCCAAACCTCCCAGTAGTATCACCCCAAACCTCTGGGTAGTATCACCCCAAACATCCCAGTAGTATCACCACAAACCTCCCAGTATTATCAACCCAAACCTCCTCGTAGTATCACCCAAACCTCCCATTAGTATCACTCCAAACCTCCAGTAGTATCACCCCAAACCTCCCAGTAGTATCACCGCAAACCTCCAGTAGTATCACCCCAAACCTCCCAGTAGTATCACCCCAAACCTGCCATTAGTATAACCCCAAACCTCCCACTCATATCTCTCCATACCTCCCACTAGTATCACCCCAAACCTCCCAGTAGTATCACCCCAAACCTCCCATACGTATCACTCCAAACCTCCAGTAGTATCACCCCAAACCTCCCAAGAAGTATCACTCCAAACACCCTAGTATTATCACCCCAAACCTCCCAGTAGTATCACCCCAAACCTCAGGGTAGTATCACCCCAAACATCCCAGTAGTATCACCACAAACCTCCCAGTATTATCAACCCAAACCTCCTCGTAGTATCACCCAAACCTCCCATTAGTATCACTCCAAACCTCCAGTAGTATCACCCCAAACCTCCCAGTAGTATCACTCCAAACGATCTAGTAGTATCACCAAAAACTTCTCAGTCATATCACCCTTAACCTCCCAGTAGTATCACCCCAAACCTCCCAGTAGTATCACTCAAAACCTTCCATTAGTATCACTCAAAACCTCCCAGTAGTATCACCCCATATGTCCCAGTAGTATCACCCCAAACCTCCCAATAGATTCTTTCCTAACTTCCCAGTAGTATCACTCCAAACCTCCCAGTAGTATCACCCCATACCTCCCAGTAGTATCACCTCAAACCTCCCAGTAGTATCACCCCAAACCTCCCATACGTATCACTCCAAACCTCCAGTAGTATCACCCCAAACCTCCCAAGAAGTATCACTCCAAACACCCTAGTATTATCACCCCAAACCTCCCAGTAGTATCACCCCAAACCTCTGGGTAGTATCACCCCAAACATCCCAGTAGTATCACCACAAACCTCCCAGTATTATCAACCCAAACCTCCTCGTAGTATCACCCAAACCTCCCATTAGTATCACTCCAAACCTCCAGTAGTATCACCCCAAACCTCCCAGTAGTATCACTCCAAACATCCAGTAGTATCACTACAAACTTTCTAGTATTATCACCCCAAAGCTCC